GTTTTTTTCTTCAGTCTTCCCCTTTTTGGTGGCAAGCTGTACCGACAAAACTTTCCTCATATGCTCTGCCTTTTTTATCATGCCCCGGAGTTCACAAACACGCTCCGGTTCCACGATGCCGTGGATGACATTAATAACTCCCTGTGGTGGTGCGTCTCGGTCGTCCTGTCCCCTGGGATCAACCGGAGCCTGATTCGGCTTCACGCCGCCATCAATGTAAAGGTCTAGATGCCCGGCCGTAACCAGCTTTTCTAGATGTTGCCGCAAAGGTAAACAATCCTCAGTCCGGTGGCCTCTCTCCGGGTGGAACGTGCAACGATACCGCAGATTATAGCCCTTTTGTCCATCGCCCAACTTAGCAGGAAACCGGACATACTCCTCGTCTCAGATTTCACTAAGTATGCGATAAATTGGAATCTTGAAGACCGTGGTTATGCCAGTCCTTGCCTTCATCCTTCTGTTTGCGTCCGCTACATCATCTCGGGGGTAGTGATCCCGGTCATTACGACGTCCTCTACCCTGGTTTTTACTGTTCGAGCCACAGTCCGATTCCTCTGCTCGGTTACTTGAGCGGCTGGACTCGTGCCCAACTGCGTGCACTTTGCCTGCTGTCTTCTTGTCTGTTGCTACCGGAGTGGCCTTCACGGTAGAAGCTGACGCGTCATCCTCTACTCGGATGTGTTAATTGATACGCTGCATGAGTTGGCCCATGGAGGTCGGCTGGTGCATGGTAAGCGAGTCCCGCAGTCTATGTCCGACCGGGAAATCGCGCTTGTATTGCGTGATTGCAAGGTTGACCGGGCAGTCCAAGATCTCGTTGAAGGTTTCCCAGTATCTTGAGTTGTATACCTTCAGTGTGTCGCTCGATTCCATCTTGACACTCAGCAAATGATCGACTTCCTTCGGTGTCTTAGTGTTGGTTTTGAAGTGTGTAACAAATGCCTCGGCCAGCTGATGCCACCTTTTTTATGCTTCCTTCCGGCAACCTCTCGAACCATTTTAAGCCCAGCTCGCCTAAACTTGACGGGAAGATTAGGCACATAAGTCTGTCATTGCGCCTATGTCCGGCCATAACCTGTCGGAAGTGGCTCACATGCATATATGGATCGGTCTTTCCGTCGTAAAGCGTGAACTTAGACTGGTGGAAGCCTTCCGGAAGCGGTGTTGTTTCTATTTCCAGGGAAAAAGGGGTGGCACTCAGCCTGGCCAAGTCCGTATCTTCAAAGAGTGGCACTGCTTGGCGGGGTGGAGGCATTCCGACCTCCTCGCTGGTGTGAACCCCGTAGGATAGCCGCTGGAAAGCAGGTATTCTCTGGGCTTCGCGCTGACGAGCCCGCTCCTTTAAGACCGCCCGTAAATCCTCTGACTGAGCGGAGTAAGAGTACCTTGACGTCGTCGCCGGACGTGAAGGTTTGTAGGTGCTATCTTGCGCGCTAGATTTTTCTGCATGCGCGTCGGAATCACCAACCTGGTAACTTCTGGTAATAGATATACTTTTCTGCATGCATGTCGGAATCACCAACCTGGTAACTCCTGGTGATGGAAATGGACTGAGTACGTCGTTGACTCTGATCGCCTGACCGGCGGGACGGGGTGCGCTCACTGTGGTCTCCCGCTCCAGCTACACCTTTCCCTTTGACATGCCGCTTCAGATCCTCCATTTCCGCCGCCATTCGCCGGATGACAGCATCTTGGTCCCTCAACTTACTTTCCAGTCGCCTGGTGTGTGAGTCTCTCCTCCGCCGGTGACCGTCTGGACTCCGTGAATGTCCATGACTTCTTCCGCGCTTATCCCGCGCGTCTCCTGACTGGCCTCCGGTGGGCGTCCCCAAGTCCGCCATTGGATGGACGGCAGGAGGGCCTTCTCTCCTTCGGGTGAACTCCGGGGTAGCTCTATCTATGGCAGACAACGGAAACTCATCGTTGTTCGCCATGGACGGCGATCAGATGAACCTAGAAGACAAGGTTTTGTCTGTCGACTTCCCACAGACGGCGCCAATTGTACGGGGAGTAAATATTCCGGCAAGTCCATACTCCTTTCTTCCGAGCTCCGTTTATGTCCGATCACCTGCGTGCAAACAATGGTGAGCTACCCGGCAGTGTGTGGCCGGAAAAACCCTCCGACGATCAAGTTAGCACACACCTTAGGATAGAGAGATAGAGAAAGAGAGAGAAAGGTATTGGAATGTAAGAAATTCCTTACAAAGTGTTCATCTGTCGCGTATGGGGGGCGCAGACATGCTTATATACCCTCTGTGCCCCATATCTACTCCCAGTTATCTCCTGACACGTGGCTCCGCTATCCCATCTGTCAGCATAAACCTTGCTGAACATCACCTAATCTCAACTGCCTGCCATCACAGCTGGAGCTCGGCAGCCGAGCTGCTCTATCCGTTGCTGTGTCGTGCCGTGCTTCATACCCAAGCACTTCACTGGCTAAGACCAAGGAGGATCGGGCTAGGCGGCATCTCGATAAAGCCTAGCCCGAGGCACCTCCTGTGGTCGGCCTTTCTGCCGGTAAAACAGTTACCTCGGCTGACCACGCCTTTTCGGGCACCGGTCACTCAGCTTGTCCGGCTTCGGCCATCCCCTGATCGAGCAGCTCGGTCCGACCGAGCACTGCCTTGCCGAGCAGCTTCTTTACGGTCTGGGGCGGCACACCCTCGGCCCAAGTTCTGCCTGGCCCAAGTTCTGGCAGCCCATCTCTGGGCGGATAGTCGATCATCTCGACCCCAAGCACCGTTGGGCTCTCAACCTGCTCGGCCGTTACCTCGGCCCAACTCCAGATCATAAATCACCCTCTCATATATATATATAAACACATGAAAATAAAACAATTTCATCATCTTTTACGTTGGAAGTAAGTATATTCTTTATTATACCAAATTAATAAGAAATCATTTTTCACATTCTACATATGGAAAAGAAGTAATGAACAATAAGTAGTATATATTTTAGAAAACTCTATTAAAACACAAATTGAAATAGAACACCTAAAATTAAAAAGTCTATAGGTTAAGAAAATAATAGCTATAAATCCATTGCTTTTATCTTATTATTAGATACCAAGTTATTTTTTTCAAACTAACAATGTATTTCATGTGTCTAAACAATGGACATATTTATGGAAAGTCCCCAACACATCATTTCATACATTAATAATCTTGCCAACAACCCTTAGCAACGAAAAAATAAAAATCAAAGAGCATAATAAAGCACATGCATTTCAAACAGAAGCATGTGTTCACAAAAATACCTAGTATGGATCACAATTGTCCAAATCTGAGCCTATAAAACCAACAAATGACTAATTTGTTCCCTGTTTGCATTCTACTTCTCTCAATGTATGGACGTTAGCATCTCCACACGCAAGACGGGTTGCACATGAAGGAAGGTGTGGAAAGTTTGACATACATTGTTGGGCCAATTTCCTAACATCTTAAGCTTTTGGAAAAATTGGTGATCTGACATAGCAATATTGTTATAATGACCACATTTTTAACCATCTTATATGGTATCATTGCGTTGGTTTAAAGGGCCGCACCAGTCATGTCTGATACCAACGCAACAATGACACATGAGATGGTAAACACTTTAAGGTACACAAATGTGGTCATTGTGGCATTATTGCTAGGAGAGTCTTGAATTTCTAAAACTCATGCAAACACAGCCTGAAGTTTCTAAAGCTCAATCCACTGAATTAAAAAACTACAAAGATTTCTATATAAGCTGGTTTTACCTAACATTATAAGACCCATGTACATTTGTGTTCAGCAAATCTTGAGATCACCAAAATATCATTACTCATAAAACCAAATCAAACTGTACCAGCGACATACTAAATGGAAAAATACATAATAAACATTCAACCTAAAATTTTGACTAGACAAGGTCTGAAGTATTCTCCAGTCTTTTCTTGTTATCATGGTCCACATCAGTCAATGAAGTGACATTTTCCATGTTGCCTTAATGTAGTTTTGTGGACAGGCATTTAGTTGGAAAAATCAAAAAAGTTTTTCTAGATGATTTCAAAAATTATTCTCTCAAGCAGATTATTACATTAGCTTGTAATATTTTAGAGAAATTTTCTAGTTAATTGGCAGTGCCCAGAGCCATGTTGCCTCCAAAATGACATCAATCCTCAAGGACAATAAATATATTTGCAAGCAGTCAAATCTCAGACATCATACAGCTTGCGTCCCAAAGATGTAGAGGTATATGAGCCATAAGCTAGATGAGAAACTACAAGCTACACAAGAAATGAGGCTACAGATGATGTTGTCATAGATCTCCACAAAAGCATAAAGATCCCTCAATCAAATCATAATAATCAAATTGTTGAAACCAAATCTCATATAAACAATTTTTTCTAAAACTCATGCTAAATATATTCTTGGACCAGCCAATGTGTGGCACGTAGTTTGTCAGATGGCTTTTATTAATGCTTAGCCCCAAGCTTGGTTTCACATAAAAAATCGTCCTATTAATTATGTTAATATGTTACAGCCTATTTCCTTCAAGAACATACTTATTTTTCCAAACTATTATGCTTAGCAAATGTTCCACGTTATAGTTTATTGTGAAGAGGACAGAACTCTAGCAACAATAGTATTTGATTGATATGGAAGTCTGGTTAAAGAGGAGAAAACATTGCACCAAAAGGATGTATAAAAGGGGCGAAATGGATATTCATGTCATGTCAAAGAAGTCACAATAGAATAATGTTTGCAGTAACAGAAAAGAGTTGCAGACATCTCCTCACTTGTTTCTCTCATTCAAAACCGTGCATGAGACTTTCATCTCACACTACTCCTAAGTGATAAAACAAAGAACTCGTCTTCTTTCTTTTTTGATTACCTTCCTCTTGAATGTATAATAAGACCAAAGTCATTCAATTTCTAAAAAAGATTACCAATCCTTAAATATTGGTGTGTAAATACTGGTGTGTGTGTCGCATAAAAAAGAAACAAACCTAGATAACACAGAGAATATCAGGGAGGTGATTTTTGGACTCATCAACAGGACCTGCATAGAGTTCAAAAAATACATCAGGCATTAAGGGAGGGAGATAGACAAGCATTAATGGATAGCAAACATAACAAGTAATATACCAAGTAACACAAATAAGTGATGCGCTGGAGCATCCGCCATTAATTGTAGATCATTTGGAGAATTTTTGTAGTGCGAAGCAACATAGAGGGGGGAAATTTGTTATACTATGTTGCAAAACCTCGAAAAGATTTTCTTCCACCAAAAAGCGACCTTTAAAAAAATTCAACATACTATGGGTACTATACTGTAGCTTCACCAGGTATCAATGGCACCAAAAACTTGGCAGAGCTAATAAGCAGATATTGCAGCAGTCATACAATGAGGCATGGGGTCCTGGGGACTCATTTGATAATGAGACAGATCAAACTAGATGTGTCACATGATAATCAAAGGGAGAAAATTAGAAGTAACTGTATCACACAACCTAAATCAGTGACATTAATTGAAATTCTAAAAGAAGCAGTATGAGATCCCAAGTCCAAGGAAAGATAATGAGTTCCTTAACTAAGTCAAAATCCTAGGGGATATGTCATTACACAACTTTTCTGACAACAAATATGTGTTTTTGAATTCAAATGCATAGAGAAGCATTACCTCAATTCCACCAACAAATATAAAGAAACATACACACATATACACATAAAGATGAGTAGATACACACATACACATATAAAGATGAAGAACTACCAGGTCTTTGTTGTTCGAGATGATTTTTTCTTTTCATTTTTGTTCATTCATTAATGAGTAGATATTGGTTTTTAAAAAGATTACCTTACAACAGCGAAGTCGCATCCTGATTTTCAGAAACTGATGCAGTACCCTGAAATTCAGATTGAATTAAAGAAAATGCAATGTAAACATTGAAATTATCACACAACCTAAATCAGTGAAATTAATTGAAATTCTAAAAAAAGCAGTATGAGATCCCAAGTCCAAGGAAAGATAATGAGTTCCTTAACTAAGTCAAAATCCCAGAGGATATGTAATTACACAACTTTTCTGACAACAAATACATGTTTTTGAATTCAAATGCATAGAAAAGCATTACCTCAATTCCACTCTGTAATCGATTTACTTGACTGATTATTGACAATAATCAGTCTTTACCATTACCTCAATTCCACAAACAAATATCGATTTACTTAAAGCATAGAGAAGCATAGAGAGAAAGCGAGAGAGAGTGAGAGAGGTACCGGAGAGCTCCCATGGGGGTTCGAAGCAAAGAGAGAAAGAGAAGACAGCGGCGTCAATGTAGAATTTGAGGAAGCTGATGATGATGAAGATGGCTGTGGTGGTGGAAACCCTAGCCTTCGGTGACCCAATCGAAGCACAATGTCGCGATTCACAATCGGAAACCCTACCTTGCGAGTAGGAGGATTGCGACTTGAAGACACTGAGAGAGAATGGGGGAGAGGCAGAAATCGAGGCCAGCGTCGGGAGCGAGCGCAGAGGGAGGGTAGGAAAGAAGAACAGAGAGGGAGAGAGAGACAGAGAGGGAATGAGAGGAGACGAGTTAAACCAAATTACCCCAATCTGGGTTCGATTGATGCATCAACAGTGTGTGAAGTAGAAAATTACCCCAATCTAGAATTTTTTTTCTGAAATTCAATTCCCGCCCCACGTTTCAAATTTCCCCCCAAACTTTTGGCGACCAAACTCTCAAATTAGTCGCAAAAATAGGTTCTTTCGCCGACAAATTTTTTTAGTCACCAAATCTCAATCAACGGCGACTAAAATATTAGTCGCTAAAAGTACTAATTTTGCGACTAATTTTTTTTGGTTGCTGAAAATAAGTTTTCGCGACCAAATTTTTGGTCGCCAAAAAATATGTGACCTTTCGCGACCAAATTTGTAGTTGGTCGGCAAAAGTATACCACTTTCTGCGACCAACATATTTTTTGGTCGCCAAAATATAACCTTCTGCGACCAATAAAATTTGGTCGCCAAAATTAATGATCATTCGCGACTAATTAATATTTGGTCGCCAAACGTCATTTTTTTGCGACCAAAATTTTTTTAGTCGGTAAAAGTGATCGCAAAATGTGTAAATTCTTGTAGTGACAATTTGCACTTTAAACAAAACTCAAAGGGTGTATTTATAATTTATCCTTTTAAAAAAATTAGAATTGTTTAACCATATAGACCCAAAAGCCCCGCTTGTTTTCAGAGGTAGAATGGAGGAGATTGATAGTGAGGGGATTAATAGTGAGGGGATTGTTAGTGAGGGGATTGATAGTGAGAGAATTAAGTAAAATTGTGTTTGTTTTGATGATAGTTATTAGTGTAAGGATTGTTAAATTATTTTCATACAAAATAAATATAAAATAATAAAATAAATAAAATAAATACAAAAACATTAAACATTAATGTTTTAAAAAAAATGCCCAACATGTAAAAAAAATTTAAAAAATAAAAATAAAAAAAAATTTCCAAAAAAAAATAAAATAAATAAAATAATAATTTTTACTTAACAAAAAAAAATAAATTAAACATTAATGTTCAAAAAAAAATGCTCGACGTGTAAAAAATAAAATAAAAAATAAATAAAAATAAAAAATTTCTAGTCCGCCGGACTATTTTTCTAATACCAAGTCCTAGAGGCCCATCCGAATCTCCTTGGGGAGGCCCATCCTAATCCGGAACTCACTATCAATCCTCTCCACATCTCTCAAAACAAACATAATATTAGTGGGTCCCACCTCACTACCAATCCCAATTCCCCCTCTAACTCTCTAAAGAAACGGGGCCAAAAAGTAAACCAAAAAAAAAATAACTCTAAATTAAAAACAAAAGCAAAAAAAAAACAAAAACAAAAAAATAAGTCGAATAAAGAAATTGACTTTTTAAGTTTTACCAAATAAAGTAAATGGGGTGACATTAAAATGATAATAACACATAATGCATTCAATACGATTATATGGGAATACTTTTTTAAGAACAAATCATTTCATACTCATGCATATGTAAACCAGGTGGAACTGGAATTCACAAAACCGAATGAATCTTTTTCGAGTGGCATTTAGTGCAAAACTTGAATGTTTCATACAATGTCAATGAAATTCTTATATGACGTACGAATTTTTAAATTATTTTTATTTTTATTTTTGGGAGTGCCTTACTAGCCCATCCTCACTTTTCGGTGTATAAACAACGTCACTCGTCACTTTTTTAAGTGCTAAGGCTGAAAATTCAAACATCATGAGCCGATTACAAGCAGTTTCACCGTTAACGCTAATAATTGACATCTAGTTGGCACCATACTTTCTTTAATATTTAAATTTTAGAGAGGTCGTGGTTTTAAATTTTTAATAGGATTTGGGGGTGTCTACTGTATACTTAGCATAGTAGATATTGTTGCGCAGTTTTATGAGTTTATTTCAGAATTTGTTTTGAAAATTTGAACCGTTCACATTTTAGAATACATTGAGTAGAACATACCTGTAAAAAATTAAGTTAATCTGATGTCATTAACCCTTTCTTCCACTCACATTTATATCTTCAAAAATAAATAACATTGTGATTTAAAGTATTAAAATGAATATAAATATGAGTGAATGAAAGAGTTAACGATATCCGATTAACTTAATTTTTTACAGGTATATTTTATTTAATGTATTCTAAAATGTGAACGGTTCGCATTATTAAAACGAATCTCGAAATAAGCCCATAAAGTTGCACAATAGTGCCTGCTGTGCACCCAATACAGCAGGCACCCCAACTCCTTTATTATAAGGGAGTTGAATTAAGAGTGTGTAAGCATAGTTTTTTTCATATGTATTAATCTAACAATTAACAAATAATATTTGTAGATAAAAAAAACACTAATAATTGACATTTTTATTAAAAAAATAATGTAAGAAAAAAATATAGGGAGAATTACATATAGGTGAGAGTTGGTGAAAAAAATTACCAACACATGGATGGATGCAAATAACACTTTGTTGGCTTATTTTTCCTACGAAGGAAAATATCATAAATCCGAGCGTGCCAGCAAGGATTGAAAAATCCTTACAGATTAAATTCAAGTCAATTATCAAGCGATTGTGTTGACGGTTCTTTTGCCTCAACGAATAGGACTTCAAAATTGTCAAGTGTAAAGAAAAAAAAAAGTAAAAGAAGAAAAAGGGACGGAGAAAGATGATTGAGTGAACAATCAAAGTAATAATTCCTTACCTCTACTCCTATGCTTCGAAAAGAAAGTGCATAAAATGCTTCGAAATGAAATACTGAAAATAAATGCTTCGAAATATAAATCTATGTTAAACTACTCCTAAGATAAGGAAAATGACAAGAAATATTGAAATCAATTGTCTTTGATTTATGATTCTCCCCCCTTTACAATGTAGCCATTAATGGCAAGAACTTCTTGGTGGTAGAATCCCGGAATTGAAATCTGCCTTCACCTTTTTTTGTAGCTAGTAGCCAATGAATGTAATGATGTTAATGGGTGTGAATAATGATTGTTGCATATGGAATGAGTGCAGGAACTTGGAGTATATAATAGATATAGAAGGAATGTGTTCAGAAATGGAAAATGAAGTTTTTAATGTGGTTTAGCTTAGTACATAAGTGAATTGTCTGGTTATATTTCCTTTACTTTGTCTTATTGCCTTGCTAATGTAAATAAAAATAAATAAATAAAAACAGATTTTATTTTGTTACAAAAACAAAATTAAAATCTGATTTAAATAAATAATAAAACACTGAAAATAAATTAAATAACTTACTTGATTTAATTTCTTCGAATTATAATCTGATCAAGTCCAGTGTTTGACACTGTATTCTTAAGACAGATTCGTCCTCTCCACGATGCTTTCAAAAATTGGACGTCTATCTCCCAAGATGAAATGATCTACTACAAACAATAGCAGCACTACAAATTGTTTGCCTTACGAACACACTAAGTGTTTACACTCCTTCTTTCAGAAAATAAATACAGCAAAATGCAGAGATTTATATCAGCGGATGGAGTACGAAAATTGGAGTTAAAATCCAAATGGGAGGCTAGTCTATTTATAGATGTAAAGGTGGCTATTGGTTTTGAATTGAACAGGTATGAAACCTGTTAGTTTTGAATTCAAACAGATTTGAATCTGTTGGGTTATATTTCAAACAGATAACAAAACGGGAAGGGTCCTATTTGGGTGTGCAATAATACCAGACTAGTTTATTTCGGGAAGGACCCTGTTTGGATGTACAGTAAAACCAAACTAGTTTAATTTTGAATTATGGATTTTATTTTACCAAAACATGAAATTAAATTCAAATGTTTTTGGCCCAAAAAGATTAGTATTAGGCCGAACAAGCCCAACCTCACATCACGCACCCGCACCCAGGGCCACCCAGCCCGCCCGACCGGACGGCGGTCGCGTGTGCGTGTAGTGATTTTTGATTCCAATGGGTCTAGTCCATTTTGCCCATAATCTCTCCCTCTAAAACACTTGGGTATCCCTTGGGGCACACCCCAAGTACCAAACCCAAGCCTTATAAACCCATTCAAAACCTCCCACCAAATCAATGTGGGACAAGCTATTTTACAACCTTTAGGAATTTCCACCAAAACTCTATTTCCATGGAGCACACTTTGACTTTAATTTTTCATTCACTCGATAATGGTTTTGAGCAACCAAATATACCACGTGAATCACAACGCGGCATAGAACGCGTTACCACTTTGACCCGTGAAAATCGACGCACGGGGCCCACCTAAAAAATAGACTGAACTTAGGAAAAAATTCTGGTTTTATCTAGAATTTTATAACCATTTCCAACACATTCTTGTCTTGCCATGTGTCCTTCCACTCATCCACTTTGTCCTTCATATTCTCCATCATCTCTATAACTTCTTTTAACTTCCAAATGAATAAGAGGATGCCACGTGTCCTGAAATTATATAATAATAAAATTGCAAATTTATGGTGTTAACACACTTACAACCCCCCACAGTCTTTCATTTGTATTCCACTACAGATACACTTGCACCCCTATGTGTTTGTAATTTTTTTTCAACTCCTACCTGCATGTGATTGCCCTGACAATATACAAATCCACCTTTTAAACTCATTTTATAGACCCAATGATGTGTAAGTGAAGTGATTAGTTGATGATTAGAGAAGATATGAGAGAAAGTGTTATTTTTAATATATTAATTGATTGCCACATCACTCAACTTGAAAATTGAATCTAATTTTTTGATCTTGAATAACAACGCTCAATAATGTATTATAAAAAATAAAAAAAAAACAAACTTTAAATTTCCGCATGTATATCTACCATTAATAGAAAATTTAATTATTTTGATTTTAGTTGATGATACTCAAGAGTATAAGGGGTTGTTTGGGGTGTCCTAAATAATAAGTATACTTTTTGTCTTTTTAGACTAAAAAGTTGAGGTTGAAAATATGAATGTTTGGGCTAACTTTTTGAATTTTTATGGAAAAATGTGTATTAAAAAATTGTATACATTAATGTGTAAGAAAAAATTAGTATTGAGAGTTGTGCAGCCGTAATTGTTGACTTTTGGTGAATAGTGATAACTTTTTAACTTTTTAAGTAACTTTTTGACTTTTTAACTTTTTTGAGACTTCCCAACTTGGCCTAAATAGTATGTAAGAGGTCAAAGTAAAGTTGGGCTATCAATCAAAACATAAAATGAAATTGGGCTGCCATTTTTTAAAAATAAATAAATAAAATAACTATTAAAAGTAAAAAAATATTTGAGATGATTTAAATAAATATATTTTTTAACTTTTTATAAAATGAAATATAAAAAAATAAAGAGATATTGTGACATAAATATACTTATCTAAATAAGTACATTTATATAGGTTTTGTCAAACACTCCCTAACTATAATTGTACAATTGTCCATGCACATTTAGGGTTGGTTTGGGGTATCCTAAAAAAGTGTATTTTTTGTCTTTTTACGAAAAGATGTGTAGAAAAGTAGAGAGGTAATGTGATGAAAAAAAGATAAAAAAAATAAAAAGATGGATTATATAGTGTATCCCAAACCAACCCTTAGTTGGTCCCGTTTATATAAGTCTTATTTTAAAAATCGTTCAAATAATTTAAATACATGATTTTAGTAATTTTCTTTTTAATAAATATTAAAAAAAGTCTATCTCTGGCCACTTTATATGATTTAAATTATTTATTTTATAAGAATATCTAAATTAATCATATATATCAAAAATAAAGTTGATAAGATATTAATAGGCACTTAATTGGATCACATTTATCTACAAAGGTGAATGATCTATTTTTACAAAATCATACTTATTGTTTATTTTAAAATAAATAAACATGCTCCAAATTATATAATTATTTAATTTTTATACAAATAATCTATTTAATAAATTTATAAAATAAATAATTTAAATAATTGAACTGGTCCATAATAGGCGCTCTCTCTCTCTCTCTCTCTCTCTCTCTCTCTCTCTCTCTCTCTGTACTTTGCGTAGTGCGAATCTCAAAGCCAGCTTATCCTGAACTGTCTCTCTTTGGCTCTCTTCGTTGGGGTTTCGTAACTTCTCTTTTTCTTTTTCTTTTTTTAATAAAAATTATATAAATAATAATAGGATAAATTATACTTATTTTTCCTGAAATTTCTGACAAATATAAGGATCTCTTCTATGGTTTCAATAAGTATAGTAATCTCTCCTACTTTAATTGGCAATATCAAGATTCTCCCATTCCGTCAATTTTGCACAAACGACGTTAATTGTCTATTTCTAACAAATATAAGTTTCTCTTTGTAATTTTAATAATTACAATAACTTCTCTTACTTTATTTAATAATGTCAAAAATTTTCATTATTTGACTGCCGTTTATACACTTCACAAAATCTGTTGATGTCATCGAAGCAAACACTAAAATGCCCATAATACCCTCAAATGTCATCAACCCACCTATATATACCAATACCATGTTGGTTGGACGTCCAGTTGGTCAGACGTTCAGAATAGTGCCCTTTCCTTTTTCTTTTTGTTTTTTTTTTTACAATTTCAATCTTTTATTTAAAAACACAACAGGTAGATTATCCACAACTATTAAAATTTATCTTAAAATTTATTCTTATTTATTTATTTATAGTATTACTCAAATCAAAATTTCAATTTATAGTGAGATGAATACTACAAGCATAAACAATTAATTAGCCAAACAATAACAAAGAAACATGTTTGGTTTTCTTTTAAAATCACAATTCCAATTAAAAATTTTCAAAAATCTTTTCAAAAATCATAACCAAATACACAATTCAAAACTACTCAAAACTTAATTCAAATTATTTTCAAGACTCATAACCAAATATACAACTCAAAACTCAATTCAAAATTTTTTCAAAACTCATAACCAAACTTTTTTGAAAAATCTATTTTAAAAGAAAAAAAAATTATTTTATTTTTAAAAATTATGTTTAGAATCATGATTTGAGTGTAGAGTTGTATTTTGAGTTATAAGTTTTGAAAAAAAAAAAATTTGTTTAGTTATAAGTTTTGAAAAGAGTTTTGAGTTGTATTTTGAAATTTTTTGGATTTATTTTTTAAAATATTTTGTATTTTAAATATTTATTTATTTTAATGTGCATTATATTTCATACATTTATGTGTTGTATTTTTTAAAAATATTTCAAATAAAATTTTTAAATATTAAAAATATTTTTTTATTTTAAATATTTTATTTTATTTTATAAATATATTTTTAAATATTTTAAATTTTTTTTGTTATGTGTTTGGTTACGATTTGAGTGTAGAGTTTTGAAAGTAGTGTGGAGTTTCGAGTTATGTGTTTAGTTATAAGGTTTGAAAATAAGTTTTGAATTGAGTTTTGAGTTATGTGTTTGATTACAATTTGACTATGGAGTTTTATTTTGAGTTTAAAATATTAAAATTAAAAAAATTAAAATATTTACAAAATAAACCAAAATATTGAAAATAAAAAAATTTAAAAATTTTAAATAAAAATTACATATTTAAAATAAAAAAATAAAATTTTCTTAAATATTTTTTAATATGTTAAAAAAAATAAATCCAAAAAACAAGGGTAAAAAGTAATAAATCCTAAAAAATAATTCATAATTTAATTACTATATAATGTAAACAGAGGGGAGAGGGGTATTATCGTCTTTTTTGCGCTCAAATGAAGGGTAATACGGTCATTTACCATATGCAAGTAATACCGTTTGTTTTAATTTGACGGAATGGGAGAATTCAGACAATGTCAATTAAAATAAGAGAGTTTGTGTAATTATTAAAATCACATGAGAAGTCCCTTTATTTGTCAGAAAGCTCAGAGGAGGTGAGTGTAATTTACCCATAATATTAAGAAAAAAATTATGATACACACCTTTCAAAAGGTGTATTATATGTATTTTATAATTAAAAAATAAAATAACATAACAAACATTTTTGAGTCATAATTATAAAATAAAAATAAAAAAATCATAACCAAACTCTAAGGTACAATAAAAAATCTAATAAATTATAATTAAAATAATATCATGATAAAACTAAAAAATTAATCATAATTAAAATTACATATGATCCATCATTTTAAGGTGTGTATAGTAAAATTTTTCTAATATTAAGCTCTAGTTTGGCAAATTATTTGGGCTAAATAATCACAAAAAGATTAAAAAATATAAAAATAAAAAAATCAACAAAAAAAAATTTGTCATTCTAAAACCAGACAAAAAAAACTAAACAAATTAAAAAAATTCCAAATTAAAAAAAGTCAAAAAAAAAAAAAAACTAAAAAATCAACTTAAAAAAATCATAATCAAACTTACCCTAATAATAACAATGGAAGTGTAGGGGGGCGGTGGTGGTGGTGAGGTGCAGGTCCCTTTCATTGTCCTTTGACCTGCACTGCATCTGCATCTGCATCTGCATCAAATCTCTACTTCTCCTTTTTTGTCAACCCTTTTGGAGCTTCTTTTTTTTCTTTTTTCTTTTTTATATATATATTTGGATCTCGCCTCCCTTCCTTCCTTGTATATGCCCACACATTGTTCGCTGATTTGAAATCACCCTAAACTCAAACCCAAGGATTTTAGGGGGACTCTTTCTTGACCTCAGAGCTCTCTCTCTGTCTGTCACTCTTTCTTTTTGAACTACTACTACTCTCTTTTTGTTTCAATTCGGCGCTGCTTTCTTGGTCTCCTTTTTACAATCAGGTCATGTAACTTGTCTATTCTTGTTCGTAATCCATCTGGGTTTCCCACATTTGCTTCAGTTTTCTCACGATCTTGACTGAAAGTGGACAATACATTCTGTACAACTTAATTTCTTTTACTAGAATACCCCAGTCATGTAATTATTGGGATAATTGTTTGCTTTAAAGCTCAACGGCTTTGTTAAAAACTTTTTTCCTGAGTGAGATGAGAGCCTATTAAAAGAAGGAAGAGTACAACATTGAACTAATTAATAATAATAATAGAGCAGAGCGCTATGGAAGAGACATTTGTGCCTTTTCGCGGGATCAAGAATGATCTTAAGGGCAGGTTGTTGTGCTACAAGCAAGATTGGACTGGTGGCTTCAGAGCTGGCTTCAGGTATATACTACAATCAAAGAAGATTAATCTTTTTTTTTTTTTTTTTTCAAAATCATTTTCAATTGATGACAATGCTAATTATTTTAAATGGGCCTTTCAGTTTTTTAATGGGTCAATTTATTTTAAGTTAGTTTGGGTCTTCCTTAATTTTTTTTGGATTTAAAATATACCTAATATATTACAATAAACTATAATAGGAGGGGACCCTTTTTTTGGGTCTATTTTCAATGGATAACAATACTAATTTTTTTAAATGACCTTTTAATTTTTTAATGGGTCAATTTATTTTAAATTAGTTTGGGCTTTTTAAATTTTTTTAGACTTAAAACATGCCTAATATATTATACTAAATTATAATAGGAGGAAGCCTCTTTTTTTAGTCTATTTTGAGGGGCCCTAGGTCATGGCCTTGTGGCCGATGACCCAGGGCCGGCCTTGATTTCTTGCAAATACAGTGTAACTCTGTAACTAGAAACAATGCCTATTGAAGCTCTGGCAATGGCAGGTGTGGATTACATGGAATGTGATATAGATCTCAAGGCTTGGGAGCGATGCAGACAAGGACAACCACCTTCATATCTTCTAGCAGAAAAGCATTCAAGCAATCATCAGAATGTAAAAATGATACTACTGATGATAAGTTGATCATCATCAATGGTGAGTTGGTGATGAGAGCAAAAATTCAGGAATGGGCTAAGGCAATGGCTTCTATGAAAAATGCCTCTGGTTTTGAAAAGAGAAATACTGGCTTCAGGTATGTACTACAATCAAAGAAGAATGATCTTTATAAGCTTCTTTTTCTTTTTTTTTTCTTTTTTCTGTAACCCATTTTCTTCTTTTCTGGTGAATTTTAATATAACTTGTTATGTTTTCAGGATTTTGCCTCCTACCACATATATATTCTTTGCATCTGCAATCCCAGTCATTTCATTTGGGGAACAACTAGATAGAAACACTGGTATGGGAATTAACTGTAAATAATTCTCAACCTAAATGAATTTTTTTTTTTTATATTTTGGAATGGATGTTAAATGGCTCCAAAGATGTGTCACAATTGTTAGAATCTTCAACTTAGCATTTCAATTATTAAAAAAAAAAAAGAAAAAAATAAATAAAAGAAGTGAGAGATGAAGAAAGTCAACAGGAAAATACTACAACATAGCATAATGCATGAATCATGATATGTATCAAGGCTATATTTGCTATATGATTTTACATTAAATGCTCCACCTGTGACTTGCAGAAGGAGTATTAACTGCGGTTCAAACCTTGGCATCTACTGCAATTTGTGGGATTATTCACTCCATTATAGGAGGGCAACCTTTACTGATTTTGGGAGTTGCAGAGCCCACTGTACTAATGTATACATTCATGTTTAACTTTGCCAAAGAGAGACCAGATTTGGGTCACAAACTGTTTCTTCCATGGACTGGATGGTGAGCTATTAATCTTCTAGTCTTCCTAAATGATATAATACTATTGGCATGGTTTTCGTCTGTTGGCAGTTTTATTGCTTGAATTTCTTGTGTTAAGCTTATGGTATATAGTCATTTGCTGTTTAATAATACTTGATTATTTGATTTTTCAGGGTGTGCGTGTGGACTGCGATCTTGCTGTTCTTACTGGCTATCTTAGGAGCTTGCTCCATTATCAACAGATTTACTCGTGTGGCTGGAGAACTCTTTGGTTTGCTCATTGCCATGCTCTTCATGCAGCAAGCAGTCAAAGTAAGAACAATATTGTGATGTGAATTATCTTTTCTAATCCCTATTTTCCACAAATACAGCATGATTACACTTTTTCAACTCAAATATTGATTTTTTTTTTTTTTTTTGACATCTTGATATGTTAGCTATATTCAACTATGAACATAATACCACTTTAGATTTTATTTCTAACATTAGCTTGATTTTGATTTGGTTTCCAGGGACTTGTGGATGAGTTTCGCATACCACAGCGAGAAAATCCAAAACTGATTGAATTCATACCTTCGTGGAGGTTTGCAAATGGGATGTTTGCGTTGGTTCTGTCATTCGGTCTTTTGCTAACTGGATTAAGAAGCCGAAAAGCAAGGACATGGCGTTATGGGAGTGGTGAGTAGGTGTTGCAAAATTTCAGGTTTCTTGAACATATATTAAACAAAAGCATAATCTTTTTTCACCTGTGAAAAATTAAAAATTCCCAAGTTGGTAAACTTTGTCATTTCTGGTGAACACCATTAATTTTGATAGTATACATGTCTTGCCACAGGTTGGCTTCGAAGCTTTGTAGCAGACTATGGTGTGCCACTTATGGTTATAATCTGGACAGCCGTTTCCTACATTCCATCTGGAAATGTTCCTAAAGGAATCCCACGACGTCTCTTCAGCCCAAATCCATGGTCGCCTGGTGCATATGCGAATTGGACAGTTATTAAGGCATGTTAATCAAGTTCAATTTTTACCCAAAGGTCCTTTGTTTTGTTTAATCACCCTCAGGTTCTAAATTTTTTGGCTCATGATGGGTAGTAAATTTATGATTTCAACCAAATTGACAGGACATGCTCGACGTACCCATTATCTACATATTTGGAGCTTTTATTCCTGCTACGATGATTGCAGTACTTTACTATTTTGACCATAGCGTGGCATCTCAACTTGCTCAGCAGAAAGAATTCAATCTGAGAAAGCCGCCTTCTTTCCATTATGACTTGCTTCTTTTGGGGTTCTTGGTATGCAAGTTCTTGCTTCCTGCAGCTCACTTCCGTTTTCTTTTACAGGACTTATTTGGTTTTCTTACCCTGATTTTATGATGAATGATATGTTTAAATTCTTGCTTCATGATGACAGACATTAATGTGCGGCCTGCTTGGAATCCCTCCCTCAAATGGCGTGATCCCACAATCCCCAATGCATACAAAGAGTCTGGCAACTCTTAAACACCAGGTAATTTACCTCAAAACCTCACAGTGAATCACTAAGAAGTATGGACACGGACACATGACACGACACGGATACGACACGGACACGACACAGACACGCTAACACGTTAATTTTCAAAAAATGAAGGACACGACACGTAAGGGACACACGTGAAATATGTAATTTTATATATTTATTATATGGTATATATATTAATATATCATTCAAAGATAATAAAAAATGCAATATGACACTAATTCTTATAAATTTATATGATTTTTGTTTTATTATTGTATCTTAAGTTATTTTGTTTAAACTTATTATTAGTTTCACATGTATCCAATCGATAGACACGTGTGTTTATGTGATTGACATGTGTGTCTTCCAAGTATCCAAAGAGTGTTCGGCTGTTTAAAAAAATTTAAAAATTAGGACACGTTTTGAAGAGTGTCGGACACGTGTCCTAAGAGTGTCCAAAGGGTGTCGGTGTCCGACATGGATACGTCACCTTCTTAGAAGTGTCCGTGCTTCTTAGGTGAATCATGAAATTTCGTTCTCAAATAGTTCCTGCATCTTTGACCTTCTGATTTTAGCAGTCGACAAGCCTATAGTTGACTAAATGCTTCATTACTCCAAATATTTTTCACTGACAGCAGTAACAATTGATTGTGCAGTTGCTTCGGAATCGACTGGTTGCGACAGCACGCCAAAGTATGAGAAAGAACTCAAGCTTGGGACAATTGTATGGGAATATGCAAGAAGCCTATCAACAAATGCAGACCCCTCTGATTTACCAGGAGCCCTCGGCTCGGGTATGGTTGCAAACATTAATTTATTTCCACAATATTTTGGGTTCGATGCTTAGTTTTCTTTGCAAACCAACAATGTTGGTTGCTTAAATATAGTGAGTGCAATGATGATTGTGACTTTCTAAAAATTTACAACCAGGGGCTGAATGAATTAAAAGAATCAACAATTCAACTAGCTTCAAGCATGGGGAATATTGATGCCCCAGTTGATGAGACAGTTTTTGATGTTGAGAAGGAGATTGATGATCTATTGCCTGTTGAGGTTAAAGAACAGCGTGTCAGTAACTTGCTTCAAGCCACAATGGTTGGAGGATGTGTTGCTGCCATGCCTTTCCTCAAGATGATTCCAACCTCAGTTCTATGGGGATACTTTGCCTTTATGGCAATTGAAAGTTTACCCGGTAACCAGTTCTGGGAGAGGATATTATTACTATTCACCGCTCCTAGCAGAAGATACAAGTAATGCTTCGGACACTTTTCTTTCAGTTCTTTTTTCGTATTCCATCTTTCCTAACCATTTTTAACAAACTAAATTTTCTTCTCTGCAGAGTTCTCGAGGAGTACCATGCCACCTTTGTGGAAACTGTGCCGTTCAAGACAATTGCATTATTTACAATATTCCAAACAACATACTTGCTTATTTGTTTCGGGATCACATGGGTTCCAATTGCAGGACTTTTATTCCCTCTGATGATTATGCTTTTGGTTCCTGTAAGACAATACCTTCTGCCCAAGTTTTTCAAAGGGCCACACCTTCAGGATTTAGATGCGGCAGAGTATGAAGAGGCACCAGCTTTACTATTCAATCTTGCTACAGTAGGATTTCTTTCAACTTTTCCAAAGTCACTTATTTTATCTTTTACTATTTTACTAAAAAATTTGGCGATCACTTCCATGGCTTAGACTCATTTTCATTTTTATTGTATGTTGAATTTGGTCAAACAGGAGGCAGATTTAGGTGCTGGAGCTTCTTTTGCGGAGGATGGAGAAATTTTAGATGAGATGGTTACTAGAAGCCGTGGTGAGATTAGGCGTATATGCAGTCCCAAGGTCACAAGTTCCACTGCAACACCAACAAAAGATCCCAAAATCCTCCAGAGCCCACGTTTATCAGAGAAAGCATACAGCCCTCGACTAAGTGAACTAAGAGGGGAGCAAAGTCCTCGGACTGGTGGAAGAGGCCTTCTTAGCCCAAAAACTGGAGACCCAAAACCATCTAAGCTGGGAATGAGTCCTCATAACTAGACTTAAAATTAGTGAGAGATAACTGACTTTGCTCTTTTTTATTTGCTTTTAAGTTTGAGATGGCTTGTATGTTGTAACATTGTGATTTCTTTTGTCTAGTTGTTTTGGTTGGCCTTGATGTAAAATCTTACTTCCTAATTGTAATGCATTGTTTTCTTGTAAAAAAAATGCCATAGCCGATATTGTTCTTTTCAGTTTTCAGAGTAATGTTTCATTACTGCTTCTTGTAAATGCTAAGATGTTGCCTTTGCAAAGTGGATATTCATTGTAATGGAGCTAATCCAGTTGATGTCTCTCTCTCTCTCTCTCCATAAAAATTGAAAAACAAAATGAAAATCAGCACAAGCTCGTGCATAACTTGGGTTTGTCTACAATTTACTATTGTGCATATATGGTGCCAATATATGTTTACAAATACATACATTTGTTATACTATTGACCCGTTAATTATATCTATGTAGATGAATCAAACCACTCCTGGATGAAGTTATTTGGTGCACTCGGAGCATGTTTTGAATTCGTGTGGCGGGTCCCACATACATGATGACCTGTTTAATGTTAGCTTATTTGTCATTGGATGAGAATTGTGGGGTGATGCCTCTGGTGCACCTGCAGGTGTGAAAAACTGAAGCATCTTATTCTGCTCAGTTTTCTCCAGTCATCAGTCCTCACTGATTTGGTTGTTCTTTACATAGCTGATTAAGATAATATACATACATATACATAAGCAAATCATTAAGAACAACCAGTTGTGGTTTGAACAATTGAAGCAGGGCCTACTTGCACATGTTATATCTCAATTAACAAACTTCACAAAATACTGATACACAGCGTGAAGAATTGTTTGAATCTTATTGCTCAAATGAAGGAAAAGAACAATCTGTATCACTAAGGAATCCAAACGAGGCTCGTGAAATGATCAATCATCCTATTACTCTTTAGCTATATAGCTAGTTCTATCTAGAAATAAAAAGACTTTCATATATTCTGGCTGAGATTCATCCTCGTGTCATCGTTACACTGAACAGAACTAGTAGATTGATCAGATGAAAAACTTTATTGGAATAGTAGCAAAAGGAAAAGAAGCGGCCAGAATTTGTTAGCCCAGAAAGCAAAGAGTATGGGAAATGGATGAAGTGAAGAGACTGAGGTCCTACATGTTCTCAATTACTCAGAGAGAGGTGTGGTTTTCAATAGCATTGACTTCATTCAATGGGGGTAGGGGGTGGGTAATGTGAGTGGGATTTCATTCTCAATGTTCATGGTCTGTCACTCTCATCTCTCATATGGAGAACTTTCTATCCCTTTCTAATGATTACAGTGTATCTCTGTCTTTGCCTTCCTTCCAAAATTCAATGAATAACGCCAAAGCAACAAGCTATCCTCACATCATCATCTTTTCTTTTCTTTTCTTTATTTCATTTTCTGAGATAAAAGCAGGGCAACATCATCATCATCATCATCATCAATCTGAAGACACCAAACTTGGATGGCATAAGTGAAGATTTGATAGGCTAGTTGACCTTAACCACGGGCACTGCACTCTTTGTAACCAATGAACCATTCATTTTTTACTTTTTTATTTTTTTAGATGGGAACACACCAGTCACTGAATTAATTCATTGATTTCAGATCCAAAATGAGCTCAGTTGTGTGGTCCATATGTGGATGTGTAAGTAGAGGCCTCCACCAGTTCTCCAAGTACAGTACATATGGAAACAATGAAAAGAAAGGGAAAAAGAAAAAGAAATGATAATATTCTCTTGTTTGAATAACTAAAGAGCAGAAAAGAATAGAAAGATGGAGGAGAAAGAAGAAAATATAAAATTTTATTAGGTGAGTAATAAGGGCAAACAAATTCACCATTTAAAATATAAAAACATAAAAATAGGGGTAAAACAGGTATTAACTGTATTTTCATTTCTTTTGTACATTTAAGAGCATCTTCAATGGTGTGCTAACCAAAGTAAAAACTTTGTTCTTCTTGTCAAATTATGATATTACTAAATTGTGTGTCAAACTTGACAGTTATCAATGTTTGATAAAATTCTATGTCTACCTCTCCTCTCGTTATATGAGACTACAAATAACATTTCATTTGACATTTTGTGATATAAATAAAAGAACAAATCTAATTTTTGTTCAAGAAAAATATTGTTAAATTATAATACCTTGACACTGTAGCGTATCAAAATTTAATTTTAACACCAATCATTGTAGAAGTTCAAAGAGATTGGTTTTCTCTCAATATTTTTTTTCTCTTTTTTCCTCTTTAGTTGTCCAACAGAGTTTCTTCTTTCAAATCAATTAATCCAAACCGACTATTTGGTGAATTTAAAGATATGGTGTGTGGCTTGTACATTTTTATTCTTTACTTCTTTTCAAACCCTATTCTTTCTTATCTCAATTGTGATTGTGTCTGTCTTATATATTTTTATAAATAAGATTTAAAACTTTGAGTCACAATAATTTATTAGGTTATAAAAAACCTTAATTGCTTTGTAACGAAATATTACAGAAGCCTCAATCAATACCACCTCGATTCATAATAAAACATCATAAAATCTCATAATTAAGTTTACCATAAATTTAACCATCACAAAACCTCGTAATTAAGCCCTTTATAACTAAGATCATAAAATTTTATAACTAAGAGATAATACTAGCTTTGTCTTTGTCAATAAAGAATCCAAAAAACTTGAACTTTATTAAAACAAGTCCGAATAATAATGATTCGAAGCACGTTTTTTACCGAAGAATTTTCCTTTCCTTTAGATTGACATTGAAACAGGACATCCTGGGAAGGTAGACTTGTATTATGGCATGTCACAATGCTGCTTTGTACTTTACTACTAAAGTTATGTGCTCTCTCTCTTCAAATACAAACATGAAAGGCGCCCGCCCACAAGAGAAGACTATCAAAGCAATACAAGCAACCACTTCAATTTTTCTAAGAATCAATCAATATAATATATATATATATACACGCAGAGAGAGAGAACAAAAGAAAGAAAGAAAGAAAGAAAGAATATATATATATATATATATATATATTAATAATCAAAGAGATCATATATTAAAGCATAGAAAGGTGAAAATGGTACTTTTTAGTGGTTACTTCAAAACAGCAGATGCAGAGAACATAATTTTGAACCAACCCCCTTATTAATAAACTCAAAGTGAAAGGTTGAGGTCTAATCCAGCTTGTTTTTCTAGTTTGGCCTGTTCATCATTCTTGGTTGAAGAACTAGGAAGCACTGCAGCAAAGTGCCCATCCTTCATGAAGTCCTCCAATTCGAACGACAACGATAGACTCCCTTTTGATGATTTCATTATTTCTTTCTCTTTTCCTTTTGGCTTATTTTCTTCTGAGGAATTCACCGTTTGATTGCGCACATCTTGCATATTCTTAATCAGAGTGAAGAATGTATTGATCTTCTCTTCTTCTTCTTCGTCGTCGTTGACTTGCCTTTTTGCTCTTCCTCCTTCCATATAATATTAAATATATATATAATACACTCACTATATAATACAAACTTAAGCTCTGCTCTCTTCTTATTTGGTGGTTGGTTTTTCTCATTAGGATAGCAATTTTATATATAACAACTTGCCATGTGTTGTGCTTGCCGTGTTGTGTAACAATTACTTAACCTCCCCTTGTATAGCCAGCCATTGGCAAAAACAGTATAGATGGCACAAACCAAAAGAAGATGATGATGAGCGAAATTGGCACAGCACACTAGGAGTTATTAGGTGTTTTTGGAGCACCATATGCTCATACATCCACCCAGTAATAAGGAATGTGTCATCACTTAAAAAATTTTAATATAAAAATATAATGAACACTTGAAAGCGCGTATTTAAATGGATATATAGTCATGCTGATGTTCTTGGCACACTTTATAATTACACATAAATAAATAAGAAAAAGGGAAAGAAGGAGAGCTAGAATGACTAAACCATCCCTGCAACGACCACTGCAACGACCATAATATTGGACTAGCATAAGATATTTAGGTAAATTGAGTTCAGAGTTTGGGCTTTGCTCCATGCTTAATTAATTTATTGTTTTGTTTTTGTGGTGGGTTTGTATGAATGTATGGGCCGATAGACTGACTACTCAATTTCTACAAAGCGACATGGCCCATGCACGACACGTTTCTGCCACCCAAAGGCGCGACTCCTCTGCAAATGATCTTAGATGTAACCTTTTACAATTGGAAAGTCGCCGACATTAAGGAGTCTGGATCCTCTCCAGCTACCCTCTCCGGCTGTTCCTCCGGGGAACGGTTTAGATAGAGCCACGTCACCCCCACAAGAAAATAAATGGTTCATATTTATTTTCTTAAACAAAAAATTTCAAAACACACCCACACCAAATCATTTCATTTTCTCTGACACTCCTCTCTCTCCCTCACCTCACTGCACTGCACGCACACGTTAGTCATATCCCACCCGAAAAATGCTTGAGAGCTCTAGGATAAGAGCTCTAAGCCTTGCACTAATGACATGGAATTGTGTGGGGTCTAATTTGGTGTGATGTTTTACCTTAAATTTTTTTTTTTTTTTAGACATACCAGCTCAGTAGAGAGTCTATGTTAGAGAGAGAGAATGTGTGCTGTGAGTCTGTGTGTGTCAGTGAGAAAGGAACGTTCAACGGAGAGAGTCTATGTTAGTGGGTGTAGGTGTGTACTTTTTTTTTTCTTTTTGGTTTAAAGAATAAATCTGAGCCGTATATTCCTTTAGAGATGATGTGGCTCTATCTGAACTGTTGTCCGAAGAAACCGCTGGAGAGAGAAGCTGGAGAGGATCGGGACACATATTAAGAGGTCAAATACCTAATTATTTAATTAAAGTGGTGCAAATGTGCTACATCTTGATTTGTAGTCTTCAACTCATTACTGTTTGTACCACGTTGCTTGCTTTAGTTAGTTGGTGATGATACAATGCCTCTACACTTTTATATGAAAATATTAGTTAGTGATAACGTATGAAAATTTATTTTTAAAATGGAAAATTAATTATGAGTTACGTTTAAAAATATTTAACAATTAAAAGCTAAATAGGAATAGATTTATTAATGGTTGTTGAGATTTTTTGTCACACGGTGTGATCTTATGTAAAATAAGCTTATAAAAATAATTTCTTTCAATTTTTTTTTCAAAAAAAAAAAATTATTCTCAACCTGAAATCAAATCCTCATTTGTGTTGATCAAATTTATCAAAAATCATGAATTTTACTTGTATCAAAATTAATTATGAGTTACGTGTAAAAATATTTAACAATTAAAAGCTAAATAGGAATAGATTTATTAATGGTTGTTGAGATTTTTTGTCACACTGTGTGATCTTATGTAAAATAAGTTTATAAAAATAATTTCTTTCAATTTTTTTTTCAAAAAAAAAAAAATTATTCTCAACCTGAAATCAAATCCTCATTTGTGTTGATCAAATTTATCAAAAATCATGAATTTTACTTGTATCAAAATATTTTTTTCTGAAAAAAATAAAAATAACAAAAAATTCTACAATATACGAATTATGACTTAGTTATAACGCATTATGTATTATTTTGGTTATTAATCGAAAATGTCTTTGCTAATTTTTTATGTTTATAGCTATCTAAAGTGGTGCATCGAGTCATCAATAATACTTCAAGTGTTGTTTGATTATGATTTATTATAAAATTTTTATATGATAATATTTAAATATTTTATTATATGAAAATGTGTTTAAGGTGTATTGACTCAAATATAGGATTTTATGCTTATATCAATAAGATCATAAGAGTTATTTACATTGATGTATAAAAAATCAAAATTCAAACCATAAACAGTGTCCTCAAAGGGAACCACGCATAAAAAATCTATAACATTAATAATTTCAGTTCTCAAATGGGTTTTGATTAATTATGTGATGTTGGAACAATCTTCTGTGTAAATAACTTGAAATAAATTCAAACAAAATAAATAAATAACATACCAGATTTATTTATCGAACTGAATAAAAAACTAAGACCAAGTCGAGTGTGTGACACTCTATCCTTAAAACAGATTCGCCCTGCTATGGTACTTACGGATGAGTGGTGTCTATCTCCCAAGATACAATGATCTTCACAAATTGTAGTAGTACTCCAAACAATTTGTTCGGCGAACCAAACCTTGTGTTCTAATACTCTCTTTAATTTATTCTAAAACTAAAATGAAGAATAATGCAAAAGTAGAAAATTTTGGACAACAATGGGACAAAATTTCAGACTATTTTTCTAACTTCCTGACTGATGGAATCAAGGCTGAATTTATAGGCAAATTTCCAAAGCCCCAAACCGGTGTAAAAGTGGTCAACGTGTGCCTTATTCAAATGAACAGATCTGTTTGCAAAATGAATCTGACTGTTGCTTATTTTCAAGCAAATTGAAAAAGGTTCCGAAGACGGAACAGTACCTGTTGGAACTGTTGGGATAAAACATTAAATAATTTGAATAGTTTATTCAAAAAAGCTAAAGGGGAAAAGTTTCTAAATAACTGGAATACTAATATTAAACTATTTGAAATAGTTTAATCATTTTTTAGGAAACCATTTTAAAAAACCAAAAATAAATTTATATTTAAATTAAATTTCCACAATAATTTTTATTGAAAATTCAAATAAATTTTGTCTTTTCAAATTAATGTTAAACTCGAAAATGACGTCAACTTCCCATTCACTCATAAATGGTTTTGACGTTCCGTCTTCACCGTGTGACTTGCCACGCGGCAAGGAACACGTCACAATTTTCTTTTGAAAATCCACTTGTACCCAAGAGGTTTACAACCTGGTGGCAAGTCCATAAAAATCATTTTTTCCAACAATCCCCCACATGAATGGAATTTGACGGAGAGAAAATGCAACAACATGATCTAAATACAGAGAGTACAGAAATTGAAAATATTCTACAAAGGATAGGTAGCTTTTGGCTTTGAACCTTCCCTTATGAGACACTATCGGATTTACTAGCTAACCAGTGAACATGATGTCTTGAACTGTTCAGCCGTTTGTGTAAATCAAGACAATAGAACTCACACAGTATATTCTCAGACACAGTTTAGTTCTCACTATAGTGTTCATTTTGGCCCTGAACAACCTGGTCTTTCATGAGTGCTCTAAAGACTTGTAGCCCTTCACAAATCTTATAGAACCGGCCTAGTTCACACACACATAGGTGATTCTTATGAAAAGTATCCTGCCATACTCCACTAGATTTACCTAAATATAAGAATCATTAAAAGTATTACTTAACCTAAATCGCTGCAGACATCACTTATTTCATCATAGAAATGGGTAGGAGTTGGACTCCACAGTGATCCTTCTGAGTCAATCACAACTCGGTTGTCCATTTGAACCTAGATCTTGGGATCTCCAGTCAACCAGGTTTGGGTTGCCGTTGTGGTAACTCTTATTTAATAGGCTTAAGTCCCATTCCCCTCGATGAATTCTCAACTAACACTCTTGCTAACCCTTTGGTTAGTGGATCCGCTATGTTGTCTTTAGACTTAACATATTCTATGGAAATAATTCCATTAGAAAAACGACGTCGTTTTGGGCAGTCGGGGAATTCGGGGAAGGCTGATTTGAGCTACGAAAGATTATTCTTCAAAAATCATCCTGCTTTATTATATACATATATATATATATATATATATTTTTAACGCACACCCCTTCCTAACAGCTACTTTAAATCAAATAGTTCGCAGACCTGGCCATCTTCAAAGACCTGGTTCGTGTTATTTGTGTATGGATCACACATTTGGAACCAAGTTTTTAAAGTTAGGTTGGATTTTAAAATTGTGAAGAGGAAAAGAAAAGAGAGAAATTTAAAAAAGAAAGTTTAAAGCGTCACATGATAAATAAAATGAAAGCGAAGAAAATTAAATAGTGCGTATAACAATGGAAAATTAGACTTTGCGTGATCAAAACGCTAAAGTATTTTTATGACATATTAGACAAACAAAATGGTTTGAAGAATGAGACTTCCACCATAAAAGAAAATTGGTACAACCTACTTATTAAAGTACTAACAAAATAAGAAGGAGAATTTTATGTCCTAAAAATCTCTCTCTCTCTCTCTCTATATTGATAATTCACTTTTCAATTATTTGATCATATAAAAGTTTGAGACAAGTAATGAAGATACCAAGGCAAAAAAATATAAATAACTATTGAGAGAGTGAGAGAGAGAGAGAGAGAGAGAAGGCTAAACAGGTTTTTGGGACAACAACATTGTAAAATCCATTTCATCAGAATCCCTTCTGAGTATATTAACTATTTCTGTTTGGCTACTACATCAGACATACCTACTTGTTACAGTGTATGAAGAACTAACCAGTTCATTCCACATCTACTTCAAACCAAACACATCACAGTGAAACTTTTACAATCGGCTTCTGGATCTATATTAATGCACTGTAATTAGAAAAAATTGTGGCAACCGAACGCTTCTTTTCCGAAACACCAGATGAAGAGCCTGTGTGCTGTTTGGCAAGAATTGGGAGCCTCTTCAATCCTAAATGAAAATTTGTTGGCTTAGTTCTTGGCATACTGATATCCATCTAAGTGTAGTAAGCTAAACCAGGAGGAACGCAGGCCACCGCCATATGAGATAAGATATAAAATAAACGCCACATACGCAGCAGTCCCCATGCAGGCCAGAAAACCAAACAATAGTCCATTAACCTCGGAAACGAAAAAATCCAGCAAAACATACCCGTTGATCGCTATCACCAGGGAAGCGATGGTCCACACGACCCTCTACCACACAAATCAACAAAAAGTATAAGGAAAAAAGAATAGTACGTACGTAGTTGTTTCCCACCATTTGGCAGGAATTTAGCCAATATCTTAGATAATGACCTCAGTTTTTACAACCATAATACAAAGAAATTAGAAAAAGACAATTTAAAGAGGAAGAACAGGATTATGAACTCACAAGTCACAAGTGCCACAGTTTACTAATGCCTGGAAATCAAATGTACACCTAAGACAGATATGGTAGTATAATATGCTATAAATGAAGCCTAAGCATGATCTGTAGAAGCATACTAAATATTAGCACCTGGCGATATTATCCTTGGGGATATAAAATAACTTATCAGATGATTAATCAGTTAGGGACTAGGACATAATGATTCATAGTGAACCACAAATTGAATCGCATGATTCACACAATTTTTTATTCAACAGCATGATTCAAAGCATTTTAGTTGAAAGTTGCGTCGAATCACGAATTACACATTTTAACAACCATGCATATGAAATGATTATTCAGTTTGGGACTAGGACATGATGATGATGTTATGATCATATTAAGCAACTGCAACATGAGTCAGGAACACGGTGTTAGACACACAGATCCAACTACCTGTAGTAAACACCAACAACAGACAAATGGGTAATAATCAACTCAGGGTTCTCTTTCTCTTCATATTAAGCTTAGGGGCTTGTTATTACAAATCCAAAAGCACTAGGCTCTAGAGGGTCAGGCAGCAAATACAATAACTATTATGCATTGGAACACCAGCTTAGTGAAATTAGCATGTTACCTCCATAGCTGGTCCAATTTTGAAGACCCCCATGATCTGCTCATTGGACACCAAGGTAAAAAGAGGGATAAGTGCAAAAGGAATTTGCATAGACTGAAGCACATTAAGCCATTCATTCAGAACATCAAGTGAATCTTCTGATCTCTTAAAAAGAAGAGCTACAATTATAGTTGGCACAATTGCACAACTCCGTGATATCAATGACCTCAGCCATTTTTTTAAGCGAAGGTTAAGGAAACCTCCCATAATAAACTGTCCAGCATAAGTGCCGGTTATTGTGCTGCTTTGTCCAGCCACCAATAACCCAATGCCCCAAATATAAAGAATTGGTAACAATCCTTCACCATACTTTTCTTGAAGATACTGCCCTGCATTTCCTAGTCCTACGCTATCAGCTCGTTTAGAACCATAGAATCCCACAGCAAAGACAGATGTGACAAACAAGTTGATCACGAAGGAGACAAAAAGGGAAACCGAGGATTCAATTGAGTAGTAATTGAGAGCCTCTTGGACGCGACCAATCTTGTTAGGGTCAATTTTCCTCGACTGTACCAAAGCAGAATGCAAAAACACGTTGTGAGGTGTAATGACACAACCCACAATTCCCACAGCCTGTTGTATTGTTTTTGAGCTAAGTTTGGGAACCAAAAGACCTGCAAATGGAGATTGCATTATTGGGGGATGCAACTAAAATATACAGCATGAAATCAATGAATGAAAAATCGAAGCCAAATACAACTTTCTGACCTCTTAGTAGATCCTTTCCACTGGGCTTTGTGTCAACAAACATCCACGCAAATGAAATGGCCATCATTGAAATAAGAACAGCAAAAAACACTTCTAATTTCCTCACTCCGTAGTTCTCAAGAAATAAAAATAAGAAACTGTTCACATTGAGTGAAACAAAACAATGCTTGACAGATTGAGTTTCATTTCCAATATTAATTACAAAAAAGAAAAAGAAAATTAAAGAGAAAGCAACTTAGATAAATGAAGCATATGATTTTTTTTTTTTTTTAATCATTCCTACAATCAAAGAATGAATGTTGCTGTTTTGTAATCTGTAGTTTCTGTAATGAAATGACAAGAGAATGATTCATATCATAATTCAAATTTAACATGGTGAAATCCTGAGTTGAAAGTCGGACAAAAATCTTCTTCATTGGCTGATAATTGTAGTGTCCAAAAAAGTATGAAATTTGATAAATAATTTGTCAACATTGTGTTATACATGCAAGAAAGACAAATTCAAAAGCAATAATGTTATGGCGATCGAATTTTAATATTAAATTTTGAAAACCATTAGCTGCTTAATCTACATTGGTACAGGACATGGAAAATAAGCTCATTAACTAACTTACACATCAAATGGTATTTTAAATTCGATCACTATCACACTCACAGATAAATTATGTGTCAATCGTTTGGCAACATCACGTTTTAACTTAAAAGCTAAAAAATTATTAAAAAAATCAAAAAGCCAATAACGCATATCAAAGAGTCAAAAATTCTTTTTTCTTTTTACTTTTTGTATATTTTTTTGTAAAAAATCAAAAAGTCATTCCAAACATAATAATTTTTTTTATATCGTGTTTTAAACAAAAAGCCAAAAGGTTACTAAAAAAATATATTTCTAAACGAGACTACCTTTCAGGTTTCAAACACACAGCATTCCTAAGAGCAACTATAATGGTGATTGTAATTTTTTGACAGTACTAAAATATTATCAACAATTCTATACCAATGATGCATTTGTCATTTCTTCTTTCATTTTTTCATGCAATAACATTTCTTGTGGGTCCTATTACAAAGAATAAAATAAAATTATAGACTAAAAGCTACATTTTAGGTCTCATTATAAAAAATTTATAGGGTGAATTTCAGTTTACCCTTATGATTTGAGCTGTATGCCGTTTACTCTTCTAATGTTTAGAAACGACTATATAATCCTATTTGTAAATTGAAATGTGCGGTTATCGTTAACGATTTAATAAAAAATACTAAAATATTCTTGTATTTTCATCATTTGTTTGAAAGATAAAGTACACTTTAACCTCCTGGGTTTTATTTCATGTGCGATTTACTCCATTAAAATTTAAAAATGAGCAATAACCCCTTATGTTTGCCACATGTTTTACACTTGCTGTTCCGTTAGATGGAACATTTAATGGTATTTAACGGTATATTTCAACCCACAAATCTAGTGAGAGTTATATGATCATTTCCAAACGTTAACAAAATAAATCGGACATGGCCTAAATAAGGGATAAAGTGAAGTTTGTCCAAATTTATAAACACAGCTATAGGCAATGGAAATTTTTTGAGCTAATTCAAAATTGGGAATGGCTTCCCTTCGATCTGTGATTGGACTGGAGGGTACTATTGAGCCCGTGAGGTCTACTACAGGTCCCATTTAAATAATTCAAACTGTTCAATGTGTAGAACTCGTTGAATACTATATATCTATAAAAAAATTACGTCAATCATATATCGATAACTATGTGATCAAATCAGATTTTTGTAACCCGTTTATTTTTCACTGTCCATTTTTTTCATACAAAACTTATTTGATCACATAGCTATCGATATTCGATCAACGTGATTTTTTACAAATATATAGTGCTAAACAGATTGTGAACCCCCCACGGGCATAACACTACCCCCAGTCCGTGATTGGACTGGAGGGAAGCCATTCCCTTCAAAATTTTGGCAGGCATTGGAGTAGCTAGTTTTCTCAGCAAACAAACAGAGGACAATCAAAACCAACTCGGAAACTGAAGAACCATGAACAAAATTTACCAGTCACAAGCAGTAATGAGAACACCAGCCCAAAGAGGGAAAAACCCATTGCTGAGAATCTTGATAGCAATTGCACTCCCAATCACCTCCTGAATATCAGCCCCAATCAACGCCACCTCCGTCGTCAACCACAACAACATCCTCGCCCAATACGGATACTCCTCCCTACACAGCTCCGCCAAGTGCCTCCCCGTCGCCACCCCCAACCTCGCCGACAACAGCTGTATCAACAACCCCACCGCCGTCGCCCACATCATCAGCCACAACAATGAGTACCCCGCGATCGCCCCCGCCTGCAGATCCCCCTCGATGTTCCCCGGATCCAGGAACGCTGTGCACATCAGCAGCCCAGGACCCGTGAACTCCCACATCTTCTTCCACGTGAACGGCGGCGCCACCAGGTCGCCGTCGTCGTCGCCCCCGCCGCTCGCCTCCACGTCGACGGGGAAGATTCTGCCTCTGGGTGCCGGCGGCGACGGTGGTTCAGACAAGAGATAGTCGGCTTCTTCGTCATTTTTGGCCTCGCCGCCGCCGCCGTCTTCCCGTGGAGGAGGAGCATTCATTGTATGATTTTCACTATTTTTGTTTTTTTCATCTACTAATAATTTTCTGGGTAAGAAATTAAATTTTGACTCTTGACCATAGTAGTGATTGTGTTGAATTGCATGAAGGAATGAAGATTGAAAAATCTCAGGATATGGTTTATCATGCTAGATTGGCTCCTTGATTTTTGCTAAAATTGCAGTGGACTTGAAAGATGCATGAAATTATTGAAAAGGGGATTTGATTTGAGTGAGAGAATAAGCAATGGAGGAAATAGTTTTAATTTTTTTGGATCCCAGAAAAGGATTGCATGCAATGATGATAGCCCAAAAAAACAGTTTAACCATTAGATAAAAATGCCTAATTTAAGAACCTTGTATGTGGTGAAAATTCATTTTAGAGTAGATATCACAACCATGAAAAATAAATTAAATTAAATTAAATAAAAAAAAATTGTATAAGCACACTCAAATTTTAAACCCTTGTTTCAAAAATAAAATATAATTAACAACCACCACTTTAAGGTATCTCAGAGCATCTCTAAGGGGATAGCTAAAAAAAGTTTGTTAGGTATTTTAGTCAATGTAACTCTAATTTTGGGCTCCAATGGGCTGGTTATTGGGATAACTACTTTATTAAGAGCAACTATAATGGTGATTGTAATTTTTTGACAGTACTAAAATATTATCAACAATTCTATACCAATGATGCATTTGTCATTTCTTCTTTCATTTTTTCATGCAATAACATTTCTTGTGGGTCCTATTACAAAGAATAAAATAAAATTATAGACTAAAAGCTACATTTTAGGTCTCATTATAAAAAATTTATAGGGTGAATTTCAGTTTACCCTTATGATTTGAGCTGTATGCCGTTTACTCTTCTAATGTTTAGAAACGACTATATAATCCTATTTGTAAATTGAAATGTGCGGTTATCGTTAACGATTTAATAAAAAATACTAAAATATTCTTGTATTTTCATCATTTGTTTGAAAGATAAAGTACACTTTAACCTCCTGGGTTTTATTTCATGTGCGATTTACTCCATTAAAATTTAAAAATGAGCAATAACCCCTTATGTTTGCCACATGTTTTACACTTGCTGTTCCGTTAGATGGAACATTTAATGGTATTTAACGGTATATTTCAACCCACAAATCTAGTGAGAGTTATATGATCATTTCCAAACGTTAACAAAATAAATCGGACATGGCCTAAATAAGGGATAAAGTGAAGTTTGTCCAAATTTATAAACACAGCTATAGGCAATGGAAATTTTTTGAGCTAATTCAAAATTGGGAATGGCTTCCCTTCGATCTGTGATTGGACTGGAGGGTACTATTGAGCCCGTGAGGTCTACTACAGGTCCCATTTCGATAATCCAAACTGTTCAATGTGTAGAACTCGTTGAATGCTTCATTCCAAAAAAAAAAAACGTTAATCAAATATCTATAACCACTTGATCAAATCATATTTCTGTCAACGATAAATATGATTTAAAAAAAATTATTGATAAAAATTTGATCTGATTAACTAGCTATCAATATTCAATTAACGTGATTTTTCATAAGAAAGAAATACTCGACGAACTCTATATATTGAATATTCGAATTATCAAAACATAACCCATGATGAGACAAATGGAATCGAACTACACTATCCAGTCCACTCTGTGAGCTAGAGAGAATCTGACCCAAAAAATATAAAGTTATAAAGGAGTCAAGTCGGGCCAAATAATTTATTATTTAAATTAGTTTTATTTATAAAATAAAATAAAAAATTGATTTTAAGCATAGTGTTAATTAGTTGAACATTCAATCAATTTGATTTTTTTATAATATAAATGAAAACTTAATTGAATGAATTATCAATATCTACCAACTACCTAATAAATACGAATTAACATTTTTGCGACATCATTGATCAATGGAGGGGTCATGTGCATAATACTATCACAAAATGATTATGAGATAAGCGATTTTGTACCCAAAAAAATAATAATAATAAATTTTACCAAAAAAACCAAAATGATTCTGAGACTATTTGAACAGCAAGGCCTGAGCCCATCGTAGGCAATCCAGTATACGTGAGGAAAACGTGGGCTTTGCGTACTGTGAGTGCTGTTTTCTACCCAACTCAATTTTGGTTTTTCTACTTTTCCTTCTTTTGGGTAAAACTCATTGTTCTGTATATAAAGATACAATGCAGGATATAGAGGGGGTGTTTGGGAAGTGCTTTTTTTCAAGTTTTTTTAGTTGTAAGATATTATTAGAGAAAAAAATTGTTGTGTTTGGAAAGATAATTGAGTTTTTTTATGGTTAGATGTTATGTTTGTAAGAGAAAAGTGAAATGAGTATAGGATTTGATATGATATTTTGTTTGGATTTATTTTTTTTGATTTTGTAACTAATTTATCTTTTAATGAAAAAAAATAAAAAATCTAGTTCCCAAACAGCGCCAGAGTTTAAAAAGAAAAAAGAAAAAAAAAGTAAAGAAAAGAAAAAATGTCATTCATCTGATCTGATGATTACCAGCTCTCAACAGAAAAAAAGAAAAAAAGAAAAATGTGATCCCATCAAAGTGTGTTGCACCTTTCATGACTTTGCTGACCTTTACGTAATTCCTGTCCCTCCACCACTCCTTTTTTTCGATAAATTATTTGGCATCGGGCCCCTACTAATACCTACCCTCTACAGGGTCTTCTAACCATTTTTGTAGCCTGTATTTGAATTTTTAATTTTTATAAAATTTATGTCAATAGAGAGGGCAATGTAAGTAAAATATATTTTTTATTTTATTTTTTATTTTTTTTCTTTATAAATATCGACTCATTCTTTATAAATTTCTATTCAAATTAATAATACAAACGCAATCTTAAAATTGACAAAAACAAAGAAAAGGAAATTCAATACTCGAATGCCCATGACGAAATTGACTCATCTCTAGGGCAATGCTTGTTTAGCTTTGGATTGAATTACAAATCAAGTGAGTGCCACTAAAAGTTCCAACTATTGATCCTTCTCCACGGGGTGAGATTAACGTTGTCATGAAAGATAAGAGATTAGGGATAAAAACACTATTTTATCGACATTCAATAAAAATAATAAAGTCTCATTTTTTGTCATAATTTCATAGAAGTAATTGACATAATGCTAACCAATTTAAGCTATAACACTGATACACAAATAAATATAATTTTTATTTTACATTTTTAATTTAATACCACGATACTAGTAATTCCATCACGTAATCTTATTGCACTCATTATATCAACCAATATAATCAGACAATCAAACACCGGCGAAGAGTATGTTGTTTATCTATGATATCAATGCCTGCGCATCCTCGATCATTTATTATTATTATTATTGGTAGGGAGGAGTTCTGAATCCTCGACCATTCTATAGGCTTGTTTTGAATAGCAATAAAAAAGTTAAAATGTCAAAAAGTTACTAAAAAATCAAAGAATTATACAACAAAAAAAAAGTCAAATTTTATTTTCTTTATGCTTTTTGTACTTTTTTTTGTTAAAAAAAATTATCTTAAACATACTATTTTTTTTTTTATAGAAAATGAGTAAAATCCTTTTTTTTTTTTTGAAAAACTTCACAATTCTCAAAATAATCCACACCCCCTCATAATGCGGGGGCCCACATCATGAGTGGTGGGAATCACTTTGAAGATTGTAAAAGTCTTCCAAAAAGAGATCTCTATCAAAAAAATATTAAAATATGTTATTCCCAAACCAATCATCTCTTTATGGACCTCTACGCCGTGTCTGTTTTGGTAATGGGCCTGAACCGTTGATGGCTTTTTCTTGCAATAGAAATGAAATGAGATTAGTTGACACAGTGGTAAATAATTTGCCTACTTCTCTCTAGAAGATACCGAAGAAATCAAGCAATGATGGGTATTATAAAAAATATTTCTTAAATAATTATAAAAGATTTTTTATTCTTAAAATATATATATAATAAATCACAATATATATAATATAAGGATGGTGATTCTTTCATAACCATCCTCATAAGAGGCGAAGCCAATGTAGGACCAGAAGGACCGTGACTTCTTCAATTTTTCATATTTACACTATTTCCCTCATATAGAAAGTTTATATTTAATTTGTCTTTTATAAAATTATAGTAGTGCCTCCTCCTTAAATCATGCAAAATTCTTTTATATTTTGAAATTTTTAAAAGTGCTCTATTTATATATATATATATTTTGTTCATTCTTTTATATTTTAAACTAGAAAGTTAATGATAAGAATTGAATTAATTAAATATTACATTCTTATTATCAGATTTGTTTAGTTTATTATTTTTTTCTATTGTGAAATTTTTTGTTGAGTTGATAGTGTTGAATTTATTAATCATATATTCAGTTGGGTTGTTAACTGTGGAGTTCTAAATTATATTGAAATAATTCTCGTGATAATTATAATATTAAATCTCAACAATAAATCAAAAAATATATATATAAATTTAATGGTATCATGTTATTGTTTATTGTGAATTTTTTCTTTTTCTTTTTAATAATGTGAGAAATATATATCCTTTCAATCTAGAATTTCTGATACAACCACTAATCATTATGAAGCATTTTTCATAAAGCTTAGTATTTTTTGAAATCAATTGCCCCCCCTGCCAAACAATGAAAATATCTCTGCGCTAAGGGCCCTCCCTAATTGTCACGACCCCATTCCGCCCCTAGTAGAATGGTGCCATGATGGCTAGTAATTCACAATTACCCAAGGCCAACTTCCAAGGCTTCACACACAACAGAGCATATATATGGGGTTTACAAGTGCGGAAGCAATAAATTTAAAACTAAGTAGTCCATAAGAGCTGTGCATAAGTCAAATGGAATGGCATACATCATTACATAGCTTTGCAATCTTGAATACAAACAAAAGGAAGTACAAAAATACATCTTGACCAAAAGGCTTCTCAAGCCGTCAAATACAAAATACAAGGGAATACAACCAAGAAGCATGATCTTCAAGATGCTACAGAAATGCTAAATCCAAAACAAATTGCAAGCACGTCTAGGCGTCACCGCCGTCTTGTTCGTCACCTATATATATATAGAGAGGGGTGAGCTTGGATACTCAGTGAATGGTATAAATAATAAAGGGGTTTACATGAATGATATCCGAAATCTTTATCAAATCAAGGCACATCACATCTTGTACAAAATCCAAGGCAAATCAAGTTTATCTAACAAATCTTTCAAGTCTCAACAATTAAAATCTTTCAAGGCTTTCAAGTTCCAAGGGATGA